ATTAAGTGCCTACTGAGTGCCAGCTACTTCACTGGGGGGGGGGGAATATAAAAAGAGAGAAAAAAATTCCTCAAGGAATTTGCCATCTAATAAATGTGATTCCTGATGGTTGTTATTAGTCTGAGGGAGGAAGGCCATATGTACTAGGTATAGAAGGAACAGCCAGAAGAAGGATGGAAGGCACGTACTCCAAGAAGAAGGAACAGCACGGGCAAAAGTTCTGAAGGGAGAATTAGGCCCCACAGCGTGCCTGTGGGGGGGGGGGCGGGAAAGCTGTCCCCACCCTGTCTTCAGAAATCTCATGCTGTCTAGTTTGGGAACGTGTGTGTGTGTGTGTGTATGTGTGTGTGTGTGTGTCTCCCCTGCATAGTTGGTGTATTGCTCATCGACAGCCCTTTCTGTAGCTCCTCCCTCCCTCCCTCCCTCCCTCTGTCTGTCTGTCCCTGCCTCTCCCTCTTTGTTAGCCCCAGCCCAGTGAGCCTTACTCTTCCTCACCTCCCTCCTCCCTTCCCGGCCCCACCCCAACCTAGTAGAGGAAATGGGGCCTCTCCCTCCCCAGCCCAGGCCCCACCACAGACTCCCAGCCAGCCAGGCTTCAATCGTTCCCTCCCCCACCCAGCCGTGGCCCTTGTTTCCATATGTGGCTGTAGGAGCCAAGCTGGGTCTGGGTGACTCAGCGGGCGGGTCAGAGGCTGGCCCTGGGCCTGGCCCGGCCCCTCAGCCTTGCCTGGCTGCAGTCTCTCCTCTCAGCGTAGCTGCAGCCCCCGCATCTCCTCCTTTTCCCTGGCTGGCAGCCCTGTGCTAGGCCTCAGGCCTCAATGCCCAGGATTCTCTCCTCACTCAGACTCTACATCCAGCCCTCCCTTTTATTCAATTCCTTCGCCTGAAGTGGGCTTCTTTCTACCCCTTACTCAAAAATCTCTGGGTCACCCAGTTTCTTACCCCTTACCCACCCATGCACTTTCAGCTTATGGGGTTTCTGCTAAGTCCTGCCTTTTCTTCTTGACCACCCCCCCCCCCTTCCCTTGGAAATGGATTTGTCAAGATTTAGCAAGGGATGCCCCTAGCTCTGAGATCTTGACTGATAGGACAAAGGGGAGCTAGGTAGAGGTCCTTTCTCTGAGGTAGGGATGTGGGGGTCTGGGACAGGACATGGGCAGAGCCATGGGTCTCCCCTGTGGGCACTAGAGGATTTCCCTTGCCCGGGTATTGTCTGAATGAGGATGAGTCACCTGAGAAACCCCTGGTTCCCACCCTTTCCAGCCCTCTTGCCCAGGCATAAATAAAAGAAGTGGATATGTGCCCACCAAACCCCTGTTGGCTGTCCCTGCTGGACTCTTGCCCACATCCTGACATCCAAATAGCCATCTTGAGCATAAGCACAAGCATTGGATAATATGATTTAGAACTAGAACAGATCACTATGCTAATTCCCTCATTTTACAGATGAGGAAACTGAGGCACAGTGATCTCAAACCTGTTTCCTTGCCCAGCAGTTTGGGTTTCTCCCAATCCCCACAGGCCTTCAGTTACAAGCTATCTTTGAAGGCCCCCTCCCCTGTAAACTCTTTCACAAGGAAAGGACAAAAAGAATTCCCTTTGGTTTCCTAAGGTGTAACCTCTAGTGAGATGGATTAAGTTTAGAGATCTGGTTCTGGATCCTGGAACAAAGAGGAAACTTGGGGAAATGAGGTTCTCTTGAGATGGTGAGATCAGGGCAGTGGGCTGATGGGACTGAAGGGAGGGGAGGTCCACGCTGCTCAGATGCCATCTTGTGGTTACTGGCTGAGGGTTCCCCTGGCTCTGATGGCCATGGGAGGTAGGGTGGCTTTCTCCCAAGGGATGGGAACCCCCCTAGCCTGGCTGAGGAAACCACAGAAGCCTCAGCTTCTCTTCCTCTGCTAGTGGCTTCCCTAGTCTGAGGGGTGTGACTTAGTGAGTCTTCTGATCTGTCTGGCTTCCTTACCATCCCCTAGTCTCTTTCTCTCTTAAATTATAACTAAGGCCTCCCCCAACCAAAAGGAAAGGGAAACATCTCATTCATTTTTCTCAGGAGTATCGCGATTTAGGAGCAACAGTGAAAGAGATTATAATTGGGCTTAAGACTTCCCACTTAGCCTGTCAGTGAGAATTCTCCACCCTAGCCTTCTTTTAGTGTTAAGAACTTGTCTGTTCTGAAAGTTATGGCAGAGGTAGAGGAGAAATGAACTGGACAAATTACCTCTCTGAGTCTCAGTTTCCTCATCTGTCAAATGATGATAAGGATCACTAGGTGATCTCTAGCTCTAAAATTCCATAAGTCTAGGATCCCAAACCCTTTTAGGATGAGACTGACTTACCAGGAACCTGAGGGAGCCCAGCCCACTGAGATCATCCTGTTTCTGCCCAGGGTGGTAGAGCTTTCTCAGCTCACCCTCACCTGTGTAGGAGGAGGGATGGCTCCCTCCCTCCCTGTCTCCCATGCTTTTACTGAGTCCTGCCTCAGGAAGGCCTTCCTGCTGGTTAACCTTAAATTCAACCTACTAGATCTGGGGCATTTCATTTATTGTGTGCTTCTGGGCCTGAGGGCCCAAGGAAAAGCTGAGTTCCTGTAGCTTTGGAGTCAGACAAGGATTCTCTGCTCTATCACTTTACTAGCCATAGCTAGTTTTCCCCTTTTCTTTTCCTCCTCCTTCTCTACTGCAGCTGCTTCAACTTCGGAAAAGTTCTGAAGTCATGGAAAGTTGGAGCTGTACTCCCAGCCAGGGGCTGGACGGGATGGTGGCCAAAACCAGAGCTGGATTTTTATTTTATTTTTAGCTTTTCTGGCTGAGATGAGGAAGGGAGAAATCAGTTCTTTCTGTAGATGGGATGAGTGCTGTATGAAATACTTTGTCCTAGGTTGGGAGGTGCATACAGCAGTGCTAGGGAGAAGAAACTCAGACAGAGAAAACTCAAAAGTGACAACCCCCTCCTTGCCAGGGTCATCATGTCCCTCTCCCTGGGCCAGTCAGATCTAGTTAGGGTAGGGTGACTTCTTATCTTCATAACTCTTAGGGTGGTGAGAGAAGAAATATGCCTGTTCCAATCTCATGCCCTGCCCTAAAGTCTGTCCTGCTATGGTGTGAATTTAAGTGATTCTTAGGGCTTTCATACTAAAAGCAAAAATGAAAGTGTGACTTTTCCCTCTTTTGGGGGGTGAAGAGTATGTGGGGTTTTTTCCCCCCCAGTATCCACTGCTGTGGTCTTATGCTTAAGAGTTGCAGATAACACTGGGAGAAGGGAGTGGTGGAGGATTCCTTTTTTATTAACCCTTTCCCATTACATCCTAAAGGTGCCCTAAAAGTCCAGGGAGGTCTCCTTTTCCTTTTCCAAGGTCACATAGGTCCTAAGTAGAGCCATGATTCAAATGTGATATAAGTGAATAGGGCACTGGATTTAGAGTCAGCAAGATGTGAGATCAAATCCCACCTTGGACTTAAGCTGACAACTCATTTAGTTCTTCTCAGGGCCTCAGTTTACTCATCTGAAAAATGAAAGGGTTGTACTGCATGGTCTCTAAAGTCCTATCCAGCTGGAATTCTAGAATTCTATGACTTCAAACCTACTATACACTTACAGAGTTTCGGCACAACAGTAAGGCCTCTTTCTCCCCTCTTCTCACTTCCTCTGGGCTCCACTGGATTTCAGAGTCTGGATTCCAAAAGATTGTTTTCTTTTTAAATAAAAAAAAAGAGCCCTTCTACCCACTTCTCCATCTATCTGAAATAGCCAATGTCCCCAAAGTAGGGTAGCTGAAGCGTTATTCCCACTATCCCTAGATTTGCTTTAGGTTGGGTTTTAAAAAGTTTCAAGGTAAACTGAGGGCCGGCACCCACATGTACCCAGTTGCCTCAAAGCCAACATCTGGAGCCAGATACTGAGGTTCCTCATTTGCAAGAAGGGTGGGTAGAGTTGTCCCAGGGATCTGATGGAACCTCCCCCCCAAGAAATCGGGTTGACTGGGAAGAAGGAAGGGTAGAGAGAATCTAGCCATCTTTCACTGCCTAGAGCAAAGGAAGGGAGAACCCTCTGGCTTTGTTTTCCGAGGTCTCACTGGGGTATTTGTTCCAATGAGATTTCCCTTTCCTAAAAGCGCTAGGAGAGGCAAACTCTCCTTTTAGTTCTTTCCACTCTGCATTGAGGAGAAGGGGGCAGGGGAGGAGGGAATCCCAGACTTGATGGCTGTGGCAGCCACCTAAAAGCCTCTTGGAAACAGACATGGAAATAACTTGAGAGCCATAGTGGCTGGTTTCCGATGTGGGTGGTTGAGTTGAGGGAGGGAGGCAGGGAGGGAGGAAGGCTGGTTTGAAAGGAGGTGGGTTGGGCCTAAGGAAGAGAAAGTTAAGGCCCTGTGTGGGAGGGTGGGGAACAAAGGTACCCCTGTTTCTTAGAGGAAGAATGGAAGAAGGGGGGGAATCGGTTCAAATCATGGGACCCAGGCTCTCCCTACAACCCCCAGGCACGTTCCTGGCCTCTGAGTCATGGGAGAGGTGGAATGTTTCATGGGACCTGGGTGATCTTGGCTGCACCCTGGAGTTTGAGGTGGAGGGGTGGGAGGGGAGGGACCCTGGCAGTATCCTAAGTCTTTGTTATAGGTAGGAACCAATCAATGGTGCAGTCAATGCCACCCTCTGCTGGTGTCAAGTGGAAAGGCAAGAGGCAGCTGTTTGTCTAGTGCTGACTTAAATATTCTATGATACCATAGAATATTATTGATAGAACTGAAAGGGACCTTTGAGGGCATCTACTCTAATACTTCATTCTACAAAATGAGGAACTTGATGGTCAGAGAGGTTAGCTGAAGTGTCCACCACCAACACAGCTAATATATAAATGGCCAAACTGAGATGTTTCAAAGCACCATTTTCCCCCACTTTATTAAGATGTGGGCCTGAGTAAGATCCAGCCATCTTTGCTGATCCTAGTTTCCTTGGTCTGTCCAGTGCCTTCCTTTACCTTCTCTCCTCTTTTCTATTCAGCAATGCCAAGAAGGAGGGGGATCTGCTGGCAGCTCAGGCCCGGCTCAAGGACCTGGAAGCACTGCTGAACTCCAAGGAGGCAGCTCTGAGCACAGCCTTGAGTGAGAAGCGTACTCTGGATGGTGAGGTGCATGAGCTCCGGGGCCAGGTAGCCAAGGTAAGACCATCTCCATATATAGGCTCCATGTAGTGGCCACAACACACACACTTCCTCCTCCTTCAATGTACTGTGCATTCTTCTCCCCCCACCCCCTCCATTCTTCTTCCTTTCTCCAACTCAGGAAAGCTTACTTTATACCTAATGCCTTCAGGAGGTTCCCAATCTGAGATACACACTCAAGAATAATTACTCTCAGTCATGTCATGAAGGGGAAGAAGAGGTGTGAATGTTTCCAAATGTATCTTGTCTCAACCAGATTCTAAAGTTCTTTGAGGCCAGGGAATAATGTCTTCCAATAATACACTTCCTGGGACACATCAGGCTCTCATTAATTACTTGAGTAGAGTTGAAGCAAAAATCTGTTAATTCATTTCAGTTTACCTATGGAAGGGACATATTCTGCCAGTGTCTGACCCTAAGCTCCTCTCTCTTTGACTGCCGTGTTTCCACTGTATAGGAATTATTACTAAGGAGCACACAAAAGCCATAATTGGGAGTTGAATATTTATTTAATATTAATTATACCGTGTGCAGGCGACACACAGAGTAATTGTCCTAATAACACCTTGCATTTATATAATGTGCTTTACTTTCCAAAGCACTTTCCTATCTATTATCTCCTCTTATCCTCATGTTACAAGGTAGGGAAACTGGCCCAGAAGAGTTCGGCAAGCAACCCAAGCTCATCTTAGCTAGTTAATGGCAGAGCTGAGGCGCTGCCTTCTGACTCAGCATTTTCTTGCCCTTGTGACACACGGTTCCTTTCTGAGGCAAAGACTTGACTGACAGCAGATTATTATCCCAATGTAACCCAAAGTAGTGTCAGATGCATTTCCAGCTCTTACTAAATGCTAGAATAAGAATCACCTCCGCTGAGGTTAGGAGGAATGTGTGTTTAAAGGAAGACATCTCCTGACAGAGAGGTGATAGACTCAAGGTGCAGAGGGAGACATTTTTTTTTTAATATGGCCAGTTTGGGAATTTGTTTTGCTTGACTATTCATGTTTGTTACATTTTTTTTCTTTTCCTCTAATGGGAAGGGGAAGGGGGAAAAAATGGAATATTATTAATTGAAAAAAATTGTTTTAAAATTTTTCTTAAACAAAAATTAAAGGAAGGAGGTAGGAGAGTCTAAAGTCTGAAAAGAAGTTCTCTCATTTCTTTCTGCCTTCTACTCCTCGCCCTGCCAGTTAGGTGACCTTGGACAGACATGTAGTTATGTCCTATTTTTCAGAAGAAAGAGATAGACAGGTCATGTGGTACAGTGGAAAACATACTAGGAAAAAAAAAAGAAAAGAAAACATACTAGACTGGGAATATGGGAGACCAGGCTTTTGGCCCTGGCTCTGTTAACTGGCCTTCTCTCAGCCTCATTTTCCTTACCTTTAACTCTGTTTTTCCCCTAAATGCTGGGGGCCCTTCCCCAATTTGACTATTTTGTCTATATTTGTATTTTTACTTATTTGTCCACCCCAATACACTGTAAGTTCCTTTTGAGTAGGGATTTTCATTCTTTATGCTTATATCCCAGCATTTAAAACATAATAGATGCTTACTTGTTTTATTAATTGATTGATTTTAGATTAGGAGTTCTTAAATTTTTTTTAAAGTTTTGATAATTATGTCAAAATAATTAGTTTCTTTTGAATCCTCTCTATTTTATTTTATGTGTCTAAAAATATTATCCTGAGAAGGGACCTCTAGGCTTCATTAGACTGCTGAAGAGGTCCAGGACAAAAGAGCATAAGAACCTCTGTTGTAGTGATCTCTAAAATCCCTTCTAAGGATTTATGAGCTTCCCTCTCTTCTGTTCTCCCTCTCCCCACAGCTGGAGGCAGCTCTGAGCGAGGCCAAGAAGCAACTTCAGGATGAGATGCTGAGGAGGGTGGATGCTGAGAACAGGCTGCAGACCCTGAAGGAGGAGCTGGACTTCCAGAAGAACATCTATAGCGAGGTGGGGGGCCCAGATCAACAGGGATGCAGGGGAGCAAGCGTTGTGCGGCTCATGGGGACTCCCAATTAGCTAAGCCTAGGGGGCATTGAAGAGGCACAGACTGAGAACCTGACAGCTTGGGTCGCCAGGAAAACTTGCTTGCTGGCAGGGCTTGAGGGCAGGGAGGTGGAACACCTGGAGTGGGGCCACTGCCGAGGTGTGAGAAGGGTGCCTGCAACCTGGGCTCCTGTGCTTGTGTGCCTGGCTGGCACTGACTCTGATCCTGCCCCCTGGCTCCCCTCCACTCCCTAGGAGCTTCGTGAAACCAAACGTCGCCATGAGACTCGTTTGGTGGAGATTGACAGTGGCAAGCAGCGGGAGTTTGAGAATAAGCTAGCTGATGCCCTGCAGGACCTGCGGGCTCAGCATGAGGAACAAGTGGAGCAGTATAAGAAGGAGCTGGAGAAGACCTACTCTGCCAAGGTGCCCCAATCTCCCCCTTCCCTTGGGCTCTTGTGGGCTTCCTGCTCTGGATAGCCTCTTCTCCTGTCCTCCAAGCACAAGAAGGGAGAGCTGTCTATATCTGCCCTGACTACAGCCTTCTCGCCCCTTCATCCCACCATGCCTCGGTAGCACTGACTGACCTGCTTTCCTTGCCTTCTCTCCACCCCTCTTCCACCAGCTGGACAACGCTAGGCAGTCTGCCGAGAGGAACAGCAACATGGTGGGGGCTGCCCACGAGGAGCTGCAGCAGTCACGCATCCGCATCGATAGCCTTTCTGCCCAGCTCAGCCAGCTCCAAAAGCAGGTATTACGCTGCCCTCTCCCCATGGCACGAATGGCCATTGAGGGACTGGAGGTGATGGAGGCACCAAGGGCTGGGAGGGAAGATTGCCCCCTGGAGCTGTCAGGGTAAAACAGTGAGAAAGGGGAGGAAGGAGAGAAATTCTTTGGGAGCCTCCAAGCAGATGGAGACAGGATACAGTTAGACAAGGGTAGCCCCTGTAGGGGAACAGGACTCTAAATGCCAGTTCTGGGAGTGCACCTGGGGCTTCTGAATGGAGACTGTGGATTTTTTAGCTGCAGATGAGCAGGTTTTTGTTTGTTTGTTTGTTTTGCTAGGCAATGGGGTTAAGGGACTTGCCCAGGGTCACACAGCTACTAAGTGTAAAGTGTCTGAAGCCAGATTTGAACTGAGGTCCTCCTCACTCCAGGGCCACTATCCACCACTCCACCTAGCTGCCCTTATGAGCAGGTTTTTTTTGAGAGTAGCAGGGATTAGTTCATTTTCCATCTGAATTATTTAGTTCCTTAAAGGTTTATGAAATGTAACCGTAATTGAAATGGTTACATCTTGTCAAATATTTCCGGGCATTTTGGGAAGCAGTATTGAAATCAGTCGGCCTATTGGGATTAGCTGGAATTCCTGGAGATCCTAAAGACCAACCCCTTACCACAAAGGGGAATATAATGGATCCCTGGTATCTATGGATTTCATCACTGGGATCTCAGATCCCTTCTGACAGCTCATTAGATCCTCAAAGATCTCTCTTCCTCAAATAGCTATCGGCCAAGGAGGCAAAGCTGCGGGATCTGGAGGATGCTTTGGCCCGGGAGCGGGATACGAGCCGGCGGCTGCTGGCTGAGAAGGAGCGGGAGATGGCAGAGATGCGGGCAAGGATGCAGCAACAGCTGGACGAATACCAGGAGCTGCTGGATATCAAACTGGCCCTGGACATGGAAATCCATGCCTACCGCAAACTCCTGGAAGGAGAGGAGGAGAGGTGAGGCTAGGAAGGGGAAAGCTGGGGCCAGGAGGCTGGGGAAGACAGAGAGGTGAGGGGGAGGATGGGCTGGAGGCTGGGCACAGGGCCAAGATTCCCAGCCTGAGCCCTGGGCCTTACGTACCCATTTTCCTCTCTCCCTCTTTCCTCGTCTGCCTCCCCCTATGCCAGGCTGAGGCTGTCCCCCAGCCCCACGTCTCAGCGAAGCAGGGGCCGGACCTCGTCACATTCATCCCACACCCAGAGCGGGGGCAGCGCCACCAAGAAGCGAAAGCTGGAGACCGGCGAGAGCCGAAGTAGCTTCTCGCAGCACGCTCGCACCAGCGGTCGAGTGGCTGTGGAGGAGGTGGACGAGGAGGGCAAGTTCGTGCGGCTGCGCAACAAGTCCAATGAGGTCCGTGGGGAAGAGAGCAAAAGGCTGGGGTGGGGGGAGCCTGGATGCTTTGTGAGCTTCTGCAGGCAACCACGCAATCCGTGGAGCCTAGCTCCCAACCTCCTATAGCTCAGGAGCCTGGAGAGAGGGTGCTGCTATGTACAAACAATGGCATAGACTTCAAAGGGCTGATGAAGATTTGGGGAGGAATTTAAGGTCAGACTTCAGAGTCAAGGCTAGGCACAAAGGAAGAAAGAAAGTGGGGAATCAGTAAATGGGGCTGGCTTCCTTTCTTCCTTCTCCTCTGGTTTACTCTGCCTTCTTCCTCCTCCTCTGAATTTTTCCTCTCCCCACCCCCACCTCTTCCTTTCTTCCAGGACCAATCCATGGGTAACTGGCAGATCAAACGGCAGAATGGAGATGAGCCCCTGCTGAGTTATCGCTTTCCCCCTAAATTCACTCTCAAGGCTGGGCAGGTGGTGACGGTGAGTGTCGTGCCCTACATTCTTGGATGTCTTTCTTTTGGAAATCCTGGAGAGAGATTGGGGGACCGGGGCGTTATATGGGAGACTCAGTTGTGAACTTTATCCTCTTTAATTTTTCAGATCTGGGCCTCAGGAGCAGGAGCTACCCATAGCCCTCCCACTGACATGGTGTGGAAGGCTCAGAGTTCTTGGGGTTGTGGAAACAGCCTCCGGACAGCACTCATCAGTGCCACTGGAGAGGTGAGATCTACACACACACACACACACACACACACACACACACACACACACACACACACACACTCACTCACACTCACACACATACACATACACTCTCTCACACACACATTCCACCCCCACTTCTCTCTCTCTCTCTCTCTCTCTCTCTCTCTCTCTCTCTCTCTCTCTCTCTCTCTCTCTCTCTCTCTCTCTCTCTCTCTCTCTCTCTCTCCTTTTGTTGTACAAGATCGCCCTCTGGTGGCCAATTTTTCTCTACGGCATTGTTTGTGTTCCTTCTCCCTTCTCCACCCCTATCTTTTTTCTATTGTGTTTTCATTTAGAGGATTACCTTTCAGAGGGTCGGTAACTCAGTAATTGCATATTTATTAGGTGCCTACTATGTGCCAGGCACTGTACTAAGTGCTGGAGATCCAAAGCAAAACAAAAGATAAGTACCTGCCCTTGAACCTAAAAGTTCACAATGTAATGGGGGAAATGACCAGCAGATAACTAGGTACAAAGGAGATCTGGACAGGATCAACAGGAAACAATCAATAAAGGGAAAACACTAGAATTATGAGGCATTGGGAGGTGGAATCTCACTGCTGTAGGAGGGGTGGAAGTCAGACTGCAGAAAGAATTAGGCAGGGGCAGTAGAATTCACCCAATCTTGGATAAGAGGTCAGAGAGAAGTCTGTGATCTCCTATCTGAGTTGTAATGGAGCACTTTATCTAGATTCTCCCTTTGCCCCAGTACAGTCTACCTTCTAGTGTACTTATATACATTTTGTATGGACCTCCTTGCTCCTTGAGAGAGCAGGGGCATATACAATTTTTCATCCTTGTAGTATTTTGTTGTTGTTATTCAGTTGCTTTAGTCGTGTCCGACTCTTTGTGACCCCATTTGAGGTTTTCTTGGAAGAGATACTGGAGTGGTTTGCCATATTCTTCTCCAGCTCATTTTATAAATGAGGAAACTAAGGCAATCAGAGTTAAGTGACTCACCCAGGGTCACACAGCTAGGAAGTATTTGAGGCCAGATTTGAACCCAGGAAGATGAGTCTTCTTGACTGCAGGCCTGGCACTCTATCTACTTCACCACCTAGCTGCCCCATTAGTTATATGTAGTACGTGTGTGTGTGTGTGTGTGTGTGTGTGTGTGTGTGTGTGTGTACACAGAGTGTGTTACTGATATACGGTAGGTGATTAATAAATGTGTATTGCATGAAACTTAGAGAGGATGAGAGCAGAAGGAGGGGAAGTGGGAAAGGGTAATTGAGGCACCTAAGGGTAGAGATGGTATTCCAAACTCTGAACAGAAGGAAGGAGTCTCTGGAGGGCAAAGAGTAGAGCAAAGTGAGCCTGATGCTTAATCACATAGGATGGGATATCCGTCCCTTTCCTTGACCTCATCTCCATTCTGTCTCCCTTTACCAGGAGGTGGCCATGCGTAAGCTGGTACGCACGGTGACTGTCAATGATGATGATGAGGACGAGGATGGAGAAGTCCTGCTCCATCACCACCACGTGAGTGGCAGCCGCCGCTGAGCCAAGTGGACAGGTGGCCCTCAGCCTAGGCACCCTGTCCAACCCACAGGGGTGCTCTTACTCCCTGCCAACCCTTTCTTTGGGCCTTTCCATGCCAAGTACATTCTCATTAAAGAGTTTTTTTTATAACCTCACACAGCTGCCCTGGCCTTTCTTCTCCTCCTCCCTTATGCCTCAAACCTGGGACTCAAGTGTCTGAGTGTCCTAGAGAGGGAGGGAGGGGAGGACATCCTGGTGTCATGTAGTGTTCCCAGAGGAGGGGAGGCAAGGCAGTGAGATCTGGACTTTCCTCAGGTAGGACTACAAGGAAAAGCAGACAAGAGCAGTAGGAAGCTTCTGACTCCGTCCTTCTGTGTACATACACCTCTGTCTTCTACTTCATCCCTTGTTTCTCATCCCTTTAGCAATGTAGAATAGCTAAGGCAAAGCCAGACTCTCATCCTCTGGTTCCTCCCTAATCTGAGGCCTCCTTACCTTCTGAAGGTAGTCCCCCCGCCCACCTGCTTTGCCTTACCTTCTTATGCTCTGCCACTGTTGGCCTCTCTGGTCGTTTAGGGAGCGGAGATCCTTACATTTTTTAGCCTCATGGCCGGAAGCCTAGAATCTTTGGGCCTGTTGCTGTCCATCCCAGACTCGCCCCATCCCGCCTGAGTCTTGTCTCCCTCCCCAGGGTGCCCACTGCAGCGGCTCGGGGGACCCGGCCGAGTACAACCTTCGTTCTCGCACCGTGTTGTGTGGGACCTGTGGGCAGCCAGCTGACAAGTCCGGGAGCGGTGCCGGGCCCGGGGCTGGTGGCTCTGTCTCCTCTGCCTCCTCAGCCTCCAGTGTCACTGTTACTCGAAGCTACCGAAGTGTTGGGGGTACTGGGGGCAGTGGCTTTGGGGACAGCCTGGTTACCCGATCCTACCTCCTAGGGAACTCACGCCCTAGAACCCAGGTGAGTCAGCTCCTTCGCCTCTTCTTCCCTCCCTCTCCCACCCCTCATACTCCTGGTTATCTGGGGGAGAGGCCTTATGGAAGCTTTTATGTAGTTTGGGGTCATAGAGAGTTTCCACCCCCAAGGGGTAAGGAAGGACTCTGTCCCTCCCCCAGAGAGGAGGTGAGTGGGTTAGAGTTAACCTGTTCTAATTTGGGAGGGTAGGGAGAGAAGGTGCCTAGGAGTCTATTCACCCCTCCTCTTCCTCTTTTCTCTCCTAGACTCCCCAGAACTGCAGCATCATGTAACCTGGAACCTGGTGTGGGGAGAACCCAGCAGCCCTGTCTGCTCCCCCTTCCCACTTCATGCCAATTTTCTCCCCCCTCCTCCTTTCCTGGAGGGAGAGTCTGAAGCCAAAAAACCCCAAAACAAAACAAAAAACAAAACCCCTAACCCTGCTATGGTTTTTGTTTTCCTCTCTGCTCCCTTTTCCTGTGTTTTGTGTTTTTTTTCTAAAAGAACTTATTTTCTACAGTGGTTTTATACTGAAAGAAAAACACAAGCGCAAAAAAAAAAAGAAAAAAAGAAAAAAAAGGGAAAAAATAGTCCCCTCTTTCCAGATAGTGGTCTGTCCCCCTTTTCTCTTTCCCCTTCCTCTAAACCCCAAACCCTGTATTTTAAGCCAAAGAGGGTTTCCTGTGGGGGCCAAGGGGGGAGAGGTGTTTTTAGGGATTCTAGTTTTTGCTTTCTGATGCTGCCTGCTTCTGTTTCCATTATCCTCCTCCCCTCATATAACCAGGAACCCTCTTGAATGGTGCCTGAGCTGCAGGTGGAAGAAGTCACCTGCCCAGCCGCTTTCCTTCCTATGAGGAATAAGGGTCTTTTCCTTGCTCTCCCGGGGGTGGGGGGCCAGCATGTTGGGAGAAAGGGCACTTGGGCCATTCCCCTTGCTGAGGCTTCTCTGTTCCCTCAGGGGCCACTTCTGCTCCTGCCTTCCGCTTAGCCCCCAGCTACAGTGCCTTTACCCACATTTTATTTAGACAAGGGATGGGAATGAGGGGAAAGGGGAATGGAGGGGAGGTGCTGAATTGAGTCTCTGCTCTCCACCTGCTTTTAGAACTGGTGGCCTCCATTATGTCACTGAAGGTTGATGAAGGGAAAGAAAGAGAGTGGGAGCAGAGCTGGGAAGATAACCTACCTGGATCCTAGCCCCCAAAGAGAAAAGGGAGGGTGTAGGGTGGGGTGGGGTGGAGGAGTAGATTTTTCAGGTGGTTTTTGGCTAACACTAAGGAGCCCCTTGCCCCCAACCCCCCAACCCATCTGCTTTCTCCCACCCTATGTTTCCTCCCCCCAACCCCAACAAATCAATACACTAGACTTTTCTGTCCCTATGTGTGTGGTGTCCTTTGTTGGGATGGGGTATCAAGAGGCAGGTTCACATCCTGGAAATAACTTGTTAGAGAGAACCCCCTATGTTGCCATCGGTGCTTATGTCCTTTATCACGTGTGCCTGTCCACATGCCCTAGATGCCACATCATTGTGCCCACTTCAATATCCCCCTCCTTCTTCTGGTCACACAGTGCACTCACAACCAGCACACTTTAATTGCACTTATGCCTCAACTTGTCTCTTCAACACAGAAGGTGTAGCCGGGGGAAGAAGAGTTGAAGACTCTGACCTACAGACCCAGCAGTCACCTACAAGGTCAGCCCTTGACCTTGAATACTCCAACGTAGATCCTGGTACTAAAGGCTAAAGTCAGAGTCAAAAAGCTAACAACCCTGGGACTGAGGAATGTAAAGGAAAGGATTAGTGGGTTACTTCCCAAGCACGCCAAGCCCATTTAGGTAGGCCCACAATTACTAAATCAGATGTTCTTAACCTTCTTTGTATCATAGACCTGAATGGCAACCTGGTGAAGCCTCTTGGACCCCTTATCAGAATAAGGTTTTTAAATGCATAAGACAAAATAAAGAGTATTACAAAGGAAATCAGTTATATTAAAATAATTATATATGTCTGTCTATCTATCTATCTATCTATTCACAGATGCCAGGGTAAGAACTCCTGCTTAATATCCAAATACCTTTAGTTCCCTACCCAAGTTAGAAGCAGAGTGACTTTGAGGTTTCTCCTTTCTCCTTCCTTCCCCTCCCCAGACTCAGACTTAGGTCCTTAGAAGTCATCTCATCCACTCCCTCCCTTTTACTGGTGAGGAGACTGAGGCTCAGGTGAATTGATATGTCCAAGGTCACAGAACTAATAAGTTGCAGAACTCCAATCTAGCCTGCTCTCTATTCCGCCACACTGTCTTTATATCCAGTTTCTTCATCCAATGAGATAATATACATAAATTAATTCAAAAATCTTAAAAGTGTCCATTTTTGTCATTTGGTCTAGGCAAGGCAGAGTAACATAGTGGTTATAGAACTGACCTCAAAGTCAAGAGACTTTGGGTTCCAGGTCTAGCCCTGACACGTGCTAGCTAGACAATCTTGGGAGAAGTTAATTTCATTAATTTTTCAGTGCTCTGGGCAATTTTTTAAGACCAGAAAAAGTGCCAGCCTGCATGGATGGAGGAAATTTCCTCATATAGGAGTTCCCTATGCTAATGAAATGACAGGTCCTGTTTGGTCCAGATATGTGATGTTTATCCCTATAGGGAACTTCCAGCAAGCAAACCTCCTCTATCGGTGCCAATGGTAAACTGTTCTGCTATTTAATGTCTTTGAGGATTGTCTGGGGCTCCTGAGAAGTTAAATGACTTGTCCAGCATCCTACAGCCAGCACATGTCAGAGGCAGGACTTGAACCAAATCTCTGACTCCAGGGCTGGCCTCTCTGTCTGTCTGTCTCTCCACGCCACCCCTCTTCTCTTTCCACATGCCTCTCTCTGTCTCTCTTTTCTCCTCCCTCTCTCCCTTTTTCTTTCTGTCTCTGTCTCTCCTCCCTGTGTCTCTGTGTGTGTCTCTGTGTATGTCTCTCCCTCCCTCCCCCACACCATCTCTCTCCCTCCTTTTCTGTGTGTATCTCTCTGTTTCTCCCTCCCCCTTTCTCTGCCCTTCTGTCTTCTCTCTGTCTCTGTCTGTCTGTTCCCCTCCCCCCAACTCTGCCTTTCCCCAACTATTATTCTCTATACAATGAGGACTAATGCTGCTTAAACCACTTATCTCCTGGGGTGCTGTGAAGAAAGTTCTTTGTGAGTCCCAAAGAGCTATAGAAATGTGAGTTATTAATAACAATAATTAGAATCATTATAAAGGAGGTTGATAAGAACGGTTGAGATTCTTTGGAAACACAAGTAAGAGCACCTGCAAACCCCCATGCTGAGTGGGCAACACCAGAAGGGAGGCTAAAAGGAGGCCTTCCTGTGACTGGGAAAAGGAAGCCTCTGCTCCCCTATCCCCCACTTCCCATCCCCTCTCCCCCTCTCTGGCCTTCGGGAGGATTCCCCAAGCCCCAGAGGCAAAGGCTATTTAATGGTTAATTAGTACAAGTGCACATCACCAGTGTGACAGGAGCAGGCAGGCCTGCTGGATCTGAAGTGTATTCAAATCCTGCCCCTTACTCTTCAAATCAAGAAACATTTTTCAAGCTCTCATAGGAAAGCACCATGCTAGACACCTGAGGATAAGGAGACACTAATCCAGGCCTTCAAGAAACTTATATTCCATAAGAGGGATACAATACAAGAGAAATATATACAAAGTAACACAGTAATTTCAAGAGCAAGAAAATGCTATTAACTGAGGTGTTCAGGAAAGGATACAGAGAGGTATGTATTATACTTGTGTTTGTGTATATAACATGCATGTGAGCATACAACGTACTTGCATATATACTATCTTGTTCATGTGTATTCACTATACATGAATACATGTGTGCATTATATGTGTATGTACACATGCATATACATAAGTACATTACACACTCATATATGCAACATGTACACATAATGTAACATATACATGCAGATATGTATATAGACTATATGTATACATATGCACATAGAAACAACCTACATGCAAATACACACATGTACTATATGTGTATGCATGACTAGAAGCACATATATGTGTACACATGCATACATATGCATAATCTGCACCGTGTATATACAATATCTATATACATATATACATAAACATATGCGTAGTATGTGTGTGTGTGTGTGTGTGTGTGTGCACCTGAGCTATCTATATCTTGAAGGAAAGTAGGGATTCTTTGAGGTGGTGGTGAAAGGGGAAGTGATCCCCAAGCATGGGGGGACCACTTGTACAGTGGCCCAGATTTGGAGATGAAATGCCAGGTTGACTGAAACCACAAGCACTTGAAGGAGAATAATAAGAAACAAGACCAGAAAGTTAGATAGGGGCAAGATTGTAGAAGGCTTTGAATGCCAAACTGCATTATGTCCTCAAGGTAATCAGGAGCTAGTGAAAATTTTTGAGCAGGAGGTGACATGGAGGACTTCGGAAAAAAGTGTGGCAGCATGAAAAGAGCTCTGGATTTGGGGTCAAATCCCAGCTCTTCTATTTACAACTTGTGTGACCTTGGCCAAATTGTCTAACCTCTCTGGGCCTCAGTTTCCTCATTTATAATCTAATAGGTTTGGGCTTGATGATCTCTAATGTTCCTTCCAGCTATAAATCTAAGATCCTAGAGTCAGGTCTGTATTTTAGGAATATCAGTTTGGTCCAGAACTATGATGTTTGTCCCTTTAGGGAACTTCCAAACAAGAAAAGCTCTTCTATCCATGCCTATTGGAAACTGTTTTGCATCTTAAAGTCTTTGAGAGTTGTCCAGGGCTCCTGTATCACTCTGGTCAAGTAAATGTATGGCCAAATAACCATGACTCTGGGGAAGTTATTTCCCCCCAAAGCCTCATCTTCCTCTTTTGTGAAATGAAGATAACTACCTCACTAGGCTGTTATGATGAGTAAATGAGATTGTGTTTGTAAAGTGTTTTTGAAAACCTGAAATTGGACTATCATTATTACCCCTGACTTATAGATGAGGAAATGGAGTCTCAAAGAGGTGGAAATGACTGGTCCAAAGTCACACACAGAGATTTGGACATAGGTCTCTCGTGATTCCAAATCTTTTTTTTTTTTTGCTTTTTGGTGAGGCAATTGGGGTTAAGTGACTTGCCCAGGGTCACACAGCTAGTAAGTGTCAAGTGTGTGAGGTCTGGTTTGAACTCAGGTCCTTCTGACTCCAGGGCTGGTGCTCTATCCACTGCACAACCTAGCTGCCCCTAAATCTGCTCTTTCCATGGTGGCTGACATCTTGACCTTATTGTCCAGAAGCTCAGCATGTATGTATGCCTCCTGCCTGCCTGTACTTCTTGTCCTTGTCATCTGAGGTGCCATCCACCCATCCCCTTGGCACAGGGAGTCACCCCCGTGCTGTCTCAGCTTCTCTCTCGGTCACTTTCTCTTTGACTCTCCAGCTTCACAAAGAACGACAGAACCTCAGAGCTGGAAATGACCTCAGAAATCATTAGCCTAATCTAAGAGAGGCAATGGTGGTGTCATTAAAGCTCAGCTGAGCTGGGAGTCAGCAGTGATCTCAGTCATGAGCAACCTCTCCGAACTTCAGCTTCTTCACCTGTAAAATCAGAATAAATAAATATTTGCCAGACCTACCTTTCAGGACTATGGCTAGCAAATCACTTTGTAAAGCTTAAGGTACCAGACAAATGCGAGCTATGGCTTTTATAAAGTGCTATATAAATTGTACTAGGCAGCATGTTAGAGTGGATAGAGTTTGCCTCAGAGACAGACATTGATTCAAGTTGGCCGCTGGCATATGCTGGCTGGAACCCTAGATGAGGCCCTTAACCTCTCTGTGCCCCAGGAACTCTTGAAGATTGTCTGTGTTGGAGAGAAAATACTGATATCTGATATGTATTGGTAGAGGGAGTTTGCTCACAAGGAGTTCCCTTAAATCATAGGTCTGGATATATATGTGTGTGTGTGTATGTGTGTGTGTAATACATACATGAACACACATACACATATACACATATATACACACAGAGACATTAGGTATACAAATATACATATTATATTATTTTATAGACAAGGAAATTGAGTCCTAGTGAGGTCAGAGCCAGTTAACAACAAGGCCTGGGCTAAAACCTAGGTCTACAATTCTTCCCTCCATGCTCTTCCACTTAATTGCTCACATCCTCCTCCCCTCCCCATATCCCATCCCTACACAGACAAAGAACTAAGTCAAAGGGTTTGTTTTCCCTTTTTCTATCAAAGACTAGAGCCCCAGGAAGGGGAGGGTGATCAGGCTGTCATTTACAGGCTGTCCCTGTCATTTACCTTGGAGCCCCAATTTTCCATAATTACTCCACAGACAGAAACAAGAGAGGCTTAAGGAAGCAAATAAGAAGGGGACAAGAGAATCTCTGCCACAGGTAACTAGGTGCCCAGCTTCCTTCTCTCCCCAGCTCCCTAAATGTGTCAAGTCTGTCCTATAGAATCTGAGGATCTGGCTCCCTTCCCCCTCCCTCCCTCCCTTTATGCTCCCTGGGCCCTGTCTCAGGGGCTGGGTGCCCATGCTCTGTGCCAGGCAGTGCCAGCTGGCAATCCCAGTCAGGAAATGAGGTGGCACTAATGCTGGGGGGGAGGGGAGCTGGGTGCGTGGACCCCTGTGGGGAGTGGTAGCTTGGGATCAAAGGAAACTGGGAGGTTTGGACACTAGAATCCCTCAGGAGAGTACAGGCTCAGAAAGAATTGAAACCAATTGTCTGGGAAGATAGGATGCCCGGGTTTTCCATGACCCAGAAGTGACTGAACAGTGTTGATCTGGGGCACTCAAGGGAGTGGAGTGGATCTAAGGCCCTAGCAGCCCCACCATTCACTCTTCCACACATACCAACTCCCTTAAGCTGCCCCCAGCTAATCCAGTCTGGCTCCTTTAAGAGCTGCCTGGGAACTGGGGCACCAGAGGGGACTGACACCAGAGGACCTCCCCCTACCATGCCCTCCCTGCCCCGCCCCCTGCCTGATACAGACACTTCTGGGAGCCTGGACGCCTGGGTTGGGGTCTCCACTGCTGGGCCAGGGGTAAGGTCTGGGGTTAGGGGAAAGGGACCCTGAGTCTCCGGAGATGGGGGGCTGGGACATGTGGATGCCTGGATTTCTTCTTCTCTAACTCTAATTCAAGTTCTTAGAGGGCCCCTACCTAGGTTCCCAGAGTTTCTGGATTCTTCAGAGAGTACAGCTCCAGGAGTGGGAAGTTTTCTGACACCTAGGTACAAGATGGATAACTCACTCAGTCCTGAGAGATAGACATAGGGAGGTTGGATGCTTGGATCCCCATCTTTGCTGCTTTTCTCCAGTCTTCAGTTTACTAGCTCCCACACAGGTCTCTATTTCCTGGGTTCCCTCAAGTCTCAGCTCTAATCCCCAGCCATACTAGCTTCTCCAAGGTGAGGAAACTAAGGCTGGGAGAGAAAAGCAAACTAACATTGATGAAATTGGTATATCAGAAGAGATGGAGTTTAGACCAAAGGAAGGGCTTCTCTCCCATCAGCCCAAGAAGGAAGGACCCACGTGTCTAGCTCACCCCAACAAACTCCTCCCTTGCTTCTGTGCCCAAGGTCAAAGTCCTCCCTTCTTTATCGTGGCAACTTAGCTTTTTTCTTGAATAGCAGGGACTTGGTCACAAGAAATCTACCAGGTTAACTAGGATCAATCAATCAATTAACAAGAATTCATTAAGTATTTGCTATTGCCAAGCACTGTACTGGAGATACAAATACAGAGAATGAAACAATCGCTACTAGCAAGTAACATAAAAGTCTATTAAGGGAGACAAGAAATATAAAAATAGATAAAGCTCAATCCAAATCCATAAAATAATTAAATATAAGGTGGTTTGGGAGGGAGGGGACTTGATCTTGGGAAGATCAGAAAAGACTTCATGTGGGAGATGGTGCCTGAGCTTCATCCTAAAGGGACTCTGAAGCTGGTCAGGAGGGAGTACACAGCAGGCAAAAGGAACAGCAAAGGTAAAGGCACACAGATGGGAACTGGAGTGGCTGATTGAGGAACAGAGAGAAGGCCAGTTTGGGTGAATCTCAGGCTATAGGAAAGGAAGTCATGTTCAATGAGGCTGGAAAGAGAGGATCATAGATGGAGAGCTAGAGGGGGGAGCTAAGACCCATTGAGCTCAATCCCCTCATTTTACAGTTGAGGAAATGGAGTCAGTTCATCACTGTCAGGTGGAGGCAGAATTTCTCATCTGTCCCGAAGTTTAACCGCCTTCCTTCTAAATCCATTCCCTGTTTCCTCCAGTTACTGTCACCATCCCCTAAGCCCTGGAAAGAGGGCAGAACTGGAAGCATCTTTAGGCCCTCACCCAAACAGGGGCCCCCTAGAACGCTCAATGGGGCAGGCTGGATCAGATTGACAGGAAGTGGTAGAGAAGGGATGTGGGTCCAGCTGATCTTCTGCTTTCTACCTTGCTCAGCAGGAAATTACTCATCCCCTAACTCTACCCCAGACTGATTGCCACTCTAAAGGGGAACTGGGCATATTTCATGTAACCTTTGAAATGCCCTCCAAATCTGATTACGCACACACACACACACACACACACACACACACACACACACACGCTTCACCCTTATTCTTTTATTTCTTCCTGGAAATTAAGATGATTCTGGGGAAAAGCCCCAGCTCCTCAAAGCCTCAAGTACTTTGAACTCAACCTTTTCCTACGAGGCTTTTTTTCCCCCACCCCGGAGGCAACTGAAGTTAAGTGACTCACCCAGGGTCATACACTAATTGTCTGAGGCCAAATTTGAACTCAGGTCCTCCTGACTCCAGGGCCAGTGCTCTATCCATTGTACCATCTAGCAGCCCCTCTACAATGCTTTGTAGTATTTTACAAAGCATTTTCATCATATTAATTCTTGAGGCAAGTAGAACAGCTTTATTATCCCCATTCTATGGGTAAGGAAACAGCCTCAAAAAGGTTAAGTGTGATAGTGGAAAGAACATGGGCTCAGGAATCTGAGGAGCTGGATTCAAATCCTGCCTCTGATGCTTAAAACCTTCCTGACCTTAACCAAGTCACTCCTCATCTGTAAAAATGAAATGGGTGGACCTTGTGCCCAACCTCCAAGGTCCCCTCCAGTTCTAGTTTTAGGATGTTATGATTTGTTCCTGGTCACACAGCTAAGAAGTATCAGAGCTGGGATTCAAACCTAGGTCTCCTGAGTATAAGATGAGTGAGGTTTTAGATTAGCTTTAAGATTAGGAATTTTACCGAGCTCCAGCCTGATGGTTCCTAAAAAAAAAAAAAGGAAACACCTGGGAAATTGGGTTGGGGTTGGGGAGTCACAAGATAAAATAAGCCCAAACCCCTAGGTCTTCTTGATACTGGCAATGCAGGGAAGCCACCCTTTGCCTCTTAACCCACTGGCCCCTCCTCTTTCTTACCTGGCTAGATTGAGTTCTTTAGAGAAGAGAGTCCAATCAAAAAACACTGAGGATTGCTTTCTGATATCTACTTTCTCACTCATTCCCTTCTTATTTGGGTGTCATTAGTGGGTAATCCAAAGAGAGTTGCCTGGAGGAGGTCAGGAGGGGAGACTTCCTGGGTAGCCAAGTAGGAGAACTGGGACTTGATATCCTGGGGTTCCCTTTCCCATCAAAAAGAGGTAAAAGAAAAAAAAGCTTCTTTGGGTTTTGGACTAGAATACTATTGTACACCACCTCATTTGCCCACTGATAGATACATGTATTTGCATAGGCTATTACCATCCTTATTTGCCTAGGGCCAGGCTGGAACCCAGGTGTCCCATCTCTCAAACATTCCCTTGGGTATGGTGGGTGTCTAGGAGCTGGAGTGATGAAGGAAAGGTCTCAACAAGAAGTATTGGCCATAGTTAGATTTGCTTGCCACATCTGGAGCACATCTGCATCTTGAGCTGCGGAGAGGTGGGGGGTAGTGGCGGGGGATTAGATGGCAGGGGATTGCCCATATATCTTTCCCCCACATCTGGTTTCCTGCTGCAGAAGGTGGAGAGGGTAGGAGGAGAGAGATGGGGGAGATTATGGCCCCACCCCCCCAAAGGAGATGCGGTTGCCATGGTGACATGAGGACCAGAGGGGCGGAGATGAGGATACTGTGAGGGGCGGGGGTGTGGCAGGAGCTGAGACAGAGGGAGATGGGAACATCCTGATTGCAAGGGGGAGGGAGACTCGGAATTCCCAAGCTCCAGGTGAGTGTCGTGGGGGGAGAGAGTAAGGAGACAGCTGGTATACTGAGGTGGGGGCCACGTTATTGTCTGGCACTGTTTCCTGTTTGAGTAAGAGATAGACTAAGGGGCGGGGGCAGGCTATTGTGTGGAGACCCCAGCTCTCTCAGTGTCATTGGATTGGAAAGGATTGGGGGCTGGAGAAGAAGGGATAACGTTGGAAAGATCATTAGGAAGAGAGGGTAGGGCTTAGGGCATACTGGAAAGGAGGGAAAGAAGATGAGAGACACTATGGAAAAACAGAGAGGCTGAGACTGTTAGGAGAGAGGACAGGGGCTGGGGGACATCCAAAGAGGAGGGTGAGGGGCTATGAGGACATGGAGGAATGAGGAGGGAGTGTGAGCTTATTTAAACCACATAGAAAATCAAAGCTGGGAAAAAGAGATGCATCCAGCAGAAAAGAGATCCTTTGGGGCTTCCTGGATTCCCCTAGAGTGGAAGGTACCCCCTTCCCAGGTCAGATGGAAAGGGAACTACGGGGTGGACGAGTGGAAAAAGAACCAGCATGGATTTTTCCATTTTCCCCATGAGCAGACTAGCTCATTCACTGCTTTTTTCCCTTTGGAAGAGAATATTTCCCACCTGGCTTGCAGTAGAGTTCAGGAAGTTATCCATACCAAGATTTAGGTTTCAGAGGGAGCATGTAGGTGGTGGTGATTAACACAGGGAAGCCAGTGATACCTGAGTCTTCACTCCCATCTTGGTCTCCATTCGAAGGCCATAAAGCGCAGACAGGAAGGGGTTAATGTTTGATGTGGTCTGGGAGGTAAGGGGGAGGAGCCCTGAATGGAGAACCCAAGCTGATCTAAGGCTTTCCATTCTAGAGTTTCCCAGGGCTTTTTTGGAGGTCATTGTTGTCAGTCCCCTGCTTCTGGGTTGCACTGTCCCCTTAATGTTATTCTGAAGCCTCGATCTCTGATTTCTAAGTGAGGAGGAACTCCAAATCAGCTCTCTTCTTTTCCATTCATATTGTGGAAGGTAGACTTTGGGAGGGACTAGATTGTGAGGGATAGGTACAGAGGAGGGAGAAAGGTGCTTTCCATCTGTGGGGCTGAGTTTAGGGAGAAAGCAGCTCACTGTGAAGGCTCTGGGAGGGCAATGATAATGGCCTTTCTCTTCTGAGGTTTCTGTTCCCCCTACAGCAAGAGAGAGGGAAGGGAAACGAGTGTCCAGCTTCAGAAGGGATAGGAATTTCCCCCACCACACCCTTCTCCTCACTTACCCAAGGGTGAACCTCCAACACAAGTTGCATGGAAGATACACATATCTGCGTATGTGGGAGCTGGAAAGGGGGGAGGGACCTATTGCCTGAGTCCTGGGGGTAGTGGAGATTAAGATACCTGAGGTGAGAGAAACTAGAAGCTAGAATGCCTTCCCAGCTTTTATGCTCCACAATAGTTCTTCCTTCCCTCCTTCTTCCACAGGACTGGGCCAGAGGACCCCAAATGACAGAATTGTATAGTTGAAAGGGACCTCAAAGGTCCTCTATTGCAACCTAAAGAGGAATCCCACAGACAGACAGACACACACTATTCCTCTTAAATGTTAATCCATCTTTGCTTGAAGACCTCTGGGGGGTAGAGGTTGGGGGGGGATGTCTCAGGAACCTGCAACCTTTGGGATGGCTTTAATTGTGGGAGAATTTTTCCTTATATCAGCCCTAAATCTCCCTTTCTCCAATTCCTGCCTATTGTTTCTAGTCCTGCCCTCTGAAGCCAAACAGACCAAGTTCAATCTCTCTTCCACCAGCTAGCCTTCCAATATTTGAGGACAACTATCATATTCCTTCCAGTTAAACATCTGTAGTTCATTCTACCAATCCTCATATGTCATTGTCTCTAGGTCCCTTACCATTCTAAGTCCTGAGGAACCCATCTCAAGGGACCTGGGTTCTGCTGAGGGTGGAGTGGAACTCCAACTCCACCTGTCCTCTCCCTTTCTTATCAGAACTCCTCCCAACTGACCCAGATACAGGAGTATCTTTTCAGACTGGATTAGGGGGAAAGGGCTGGCACTTACATCAGAAGTGGGATGGGTTGGAGGCTGGGATGGGCTGGATATTGGAAGTTACCCAGTTTCCTTCAATCCCCTGGATACAAGGGGATAAAGAGAGCCACCACATCTGGGAGCAGGGGAGATGGGATGCCTTGCTGAAAACTATAACCTCCAATGAGATAGCATATATATAGTGCTTTGCAAACCTTAAAGTACTCTATAAATGCTAAGTATTATCATTATTACTACTCTAGGCAATAACTGCTGGGAAGTGGGCCCTGCCACAGTTCCTCAGATGTACAGGAGGATACAGAACAGGGTTTAGATTTCGAAACTCCAAGAATAAGAGAGGGAAAAGAAATAGGCTTTGGATGCAGTTCTTTCATGAGCTGGGATGGACTGATTTTATCTGATCTATGGAGGGCGCAGAACAAGAGGGGATGATGCTACAGAAAAAAAGAAAAAAGCAAGCAAATAAACAAACAATAATACAGGAAAAATGGAGGTCATGGAGATGTGTTTCCCCTTAAGGATGATTCTCCTGTTGGGAGGAAGATTTAGCTAACCCCTGCTAAGAGGTTCTTAAGGCACCAACTCACTTGTTTTAAAGATAAGACTGAGGTCTAGACAGGGGAAGTGACTAATTTTCTCAAGATCCCCCAACTAGTAGTAACAAAACTGAGACTAGAATTGGTCTGTCTCCCTTAAATCTCTTCCCACTTGAATACACTCTCCACACAGCTTCCAAAGGAACTTTCCTTAAGTGTAGATATTAGTCTAATAAATAAACATTCATTAAGCACCTACTGTTTGCTAGGCACTGTGCTAAGCTCTGTGGAGAAAAAGGAAAGAAAATGACAATCCCTGCCCTGGAGGAGCTCATAATCTAATGGGGGAGACAGCATGAAAACAACCATGTACCAACCAGTTATACACAAGATAAATTAAAAGTAGTGGGAAGGCACTAAAATGAAGAGGCATTGGGAAAGGTTTCCTGTGGTGGGTGGGATTTTAGCTAGGACTTGAAGGAAACCAGGGGAGCCAGGAGTTCAAAGGTAAGGAGGGAGAGAGCATTCCAACTCCAGGGAAAAGCCTGTGAAAATGCCTAGAGTGGGCAGATGAAATGATTTGCTCCAGGAATGTGACCAGGTATGACACTCCAATGAACACCAGTGGCTTCCTATAGCTTCTAGGATAAAGTATGATAAACTTCTCTGATTGACTTTTAAAGCCAAATTGAGATCAATATTATCAAAGGAGAAAACATTTTTGAAGCACTTAGCACAAGTACCTGGCAGTAGTAGGCACTTAACAAATAGTGTTACTTTCCTCCCTCCTTCCTCTTCACACCCCAGCCCAGGGGTGGGGAACCTTTGGCCTCAAGGCCACAGTGGCCCTCTAGGTCCTCAAGTGTGGCCTTTTGACTGAATCCAAATTTCACAGAACAAAGGTTCCCCGCCCCCTGGCCTAGCCCTAACCTATCTTTCTAACCTCTTTCTCTCTTTCCACATATATATATATATATATATATATATATATATATATATATATGTAACATATGTGTACATCACATGCAAATACCCATATATATCTATAACCCACACATTCTATGCAACCACTCCTACAATACATATATGCATGTGTATACCCACATGTATGTATGTATGCATGAATGTATGTGTGTGTGTGTGTATAAAATCTCCCATTCCTGAATTCTGCAGTCCAGTCACACTGGCCTTCTCACTGTACCTCCCACATAGCACTTTATCTCCTATCTCCACTTTGTGCTAGCTATCCCCTAAGCCTGGAATTCCTTATTTCCTTCAAGCCTCAGCTCAAGTATCCTATCTTTCCTGATCCCCCAACTGTTAGTGTTTCCCCTCTCAAACTACCTTGTATTGATTTCATATTTATGCTATACACGTTTCTTTTGCATATTGTCTTCTCTAATAGAATAAGCTCTTTGAGATCAAGGACCATTTTTCTGTCTTTGTATTGCTAGTGTCTAGCATAGTACTTGGCACATAACAGGTACCTAATAAATGCCTTTTGATTGATTGATAGGTTGATTGATGGAATACAAATCTTCTGACTCCCCCTCCAGGGCTCCTTCTACTAGAGTACCATGGCTTATGGGGCACAGAGGCAGGAGGATGGGTATAATAAGCCCTGACCCTCATGCCTCCCATTCCTAGGAGGCTGCAACCAGGACCCAGGAATCTTGTCCCTTAGCACCCAGAATGAGGTGGGTCATAGGATCTCTAAGCACCCTTAACTGGCAATCCTGGCATCACCTCTTCCCCTGGGAGTGGTGGAGGCTGGAGCTGACCTAGTCTAGGTGAACAGGAAGCTCGATTTATGGGCTGCTGGGCCCCTGATGGAGGGATGCCTTGTTAACTTGGCTTTTATGAGTTTTTCCTTGGAACCAGGAGTGAGAAGAGGGAAAAGGATCCAGGGAACTGGAGCCCAAAGAAAAATTGGCTGAGGAGGGTGGGTGGGACAGTCTCTTGTCACAGACTTCAAGTTCATGGAAGAGGGAATGAGGAGGAGACATCTCTATTGGCTGGGGGAGAGTAGGGGGGCAAATGAGAGGGGCTGATGATGCAGCATGACAGAATGAGGTTAGATATCAGGAGGGAACCACTGAGTAGGGCCCTAAACATGATCCTCTGTACTTATATTATTCATTATTTTACTTCTTAAGGTCAGGGTTGGGACTATATGCAAGAGGGATGAAAATCAGACCTCAGGAGGGACTTCCTGGAGTGGGGGATGGGGGTAAGACCCCAGGCTGTGGTTAGATGAATTTGAAAAAATCAGAGGGTATATTGTTTTTCCTTCCTGGGAGATCTTGGGTAAGAAAGATCTAGGGAGGCAGGGAAGGAGAGTAACTGCATGGTATAAAAGCAGGGGTATGGCTGATATGATCCTAGATGGTGGGCTTTGTTTTTTTGTTTTTTTGTTTTTCCTTCTGGTGTTTGACTTTGGTTTTCTGGCTGGCTCTGTAATAGAGAAGAAGGGGCGGGTCCCTTGGGGAGAAGGGGGGGGGTTTACCCCTTTCTCCTCCCAATCCCCCAACTTCCGGGTACAGATTGAGATCTGTAGCAACTTGAGAGGCGGAAATTCTGGTTTGTTTGACTCACCCGCCCCAGGACTCCCTGCTTTGAAATTGGCATTTTCCTGGGCACCATGGGCACCTGGATTGCTGCCCTCTTGACTCGGCCAGATTAAGCCTTTCCCCCCACTGCCCCACTGGGGCATTGACACCCCCTCCCCAACCCTCCCCTTTTCCTTCCTGACTGCACCTGTTCTTGGATAATCTTCCCAGCTGGGAGCCAGGACATCTGGGTTCTTGTTGGGGGGCAGCTCAGCACTGCATCTCAAGGGTATGTGAAAGTGGGAAGTGCTGGGGGGGGAGTGGGGGGGAAGGATTTAGGTAGGGAAGGGAAGAAGGGAGAAGTTAGTAGGGTGAAGGATAGTATGAAGACAGGGAAATATAGGGAATCATAGAAACATCAAGACACAGAGAGACGTGGAGAAAGGAGATATTGAAAAATGGGGTGACCTGAAGAAGGAAATAAAGACTAGAGAGAAAGAGCAGACCAAAGAGAGGCATAGAGAATCAGCAGGTCCCTCCCTGGTGCTCATAGCCCCTAATTCAGTTACATGGACTAACCACACATCCTGTTCCCTCATGTCTGAGTAGGGGAGAGATACAAAAAGGACTTACTGACTTGCACTTAGCTTGTAGTTAGTGTCAGAGAACTGTCTAAGCTCCATCAGGTAGGGCAATTCAATTCAATTTTGGTGGGGAAAGAGGGAGGGAGGAATTGAGGAGGTTAGCAAGGCTCATGTTGGGGGGGAAGGCTAATGAAGAAACAGTGTTGTGGAAAGATGATTAGAAAGAGGGAGGTGGGAAGGAGGGAGAAGGAAAACCTGACCCATCTATTACCTGAACGGATGTGTGCCTTCTCACTGGCTCACTGACAGTGTCTGGCTCTAGAAGTCCTGAAAAAAAAAAAAAGAAGATGAAGAGGGAAGATGTCTCAGTCCCTGAGATTCGGAAGAAGGATCTTGGGGAGATAGGGCACTATTAGTCCAGTCCTCTACGGAGAGGGGAATGAGAAGGGACGGCCCTTCAGCAGGAGGGAGGGTCAGACTTTTGCAGACACAAGTCTTGAATGTGGAAGTGGAGAGGCATCAAGGGTGGTGGCGGAGGGGACCCAGAGGAGATGAGAGCAAGGGCTCTTCTACTTCATTTGCCACAAAGGACAGAGTTGGGGACCCACCCAAATTTTAGTGAAGGATAGAAATTTCCTCTGCCCCAAATCTTTCCATACTATTCCCTTTCCATATCGGTCCATCCCCAACTTGCCATTCACCCACTTCTTCCTCCCTGGGCTGTGCTTCTTTGAGTTGGGGGAAGGAAGATGAGGGGTGGAGTGAAAGGGGTGGGGAAGATGGGATGTGGGGAGGATTACTCAGCTAGAATATGTGTCTTCCTCTGTCTTTCTACAGAACCTCCAAGTGACACTGAGAGCCACCATGGTGCACTCAGCCCGCTGCTTGAACTCCAGGATCCCCTTTCTTCTTCTGTTCCCCCCCACGCTACTGCTGCTCTTCCCTGGAGGTCTGGGGCAGGGTCCAGTGCCCAGGATCAAATATGCTGCAGGTGAGAAGGTCTTTAAGGGCTGGGCAGGGGGAGACACAGAGGCAGAGGAAGGGAGCGGATGGAGAGAGGGAAAAAGGAAGACTGAGTTAAAGGAAGAAATGGGAGAGAGAAGGGCAAAGGAGTAGGCAGATGAAGGGAAGAAGATACAAGAAGATGAAAATGGGCAGGGACAGAGAAATGGGACAGCAACTGAGAAAAGGACAGAGAGGGAGAGGGAGGTGAAAAGAGTCTCAAAGGAGAGGAAGGAGGGAGGGGGGACAGAGATGGGAAGGAGAGAAATGGGAAAGCAGTAGGAGGGAGCTAGAGAGACATGGGAGAAAGACAAAGAGATGGAAGGGACAGGGAAATGGGGGAGAAACAGAGACATAAGGGTGTCAACCAGACTGAACCAGCCTCTAACTTGTGGATGGTGGGAGCCAAACAGAGCAGGCTAGAGACGGGAGAGTTAGGAAACAAACAGAAGTTTAATTTCAAAGTGAGGGAAATGGCTTGCAAGCAAGGACACATGTGCTGGGGCCCCACCTCTAGTGGGGGCAGTGTGAGGCAGTGTGAGGAGATCTCAGTCCTCATACCAATAGCTACATAGTGAGCTGTAGCCCTAACAACGAGGGGTAACAGCAGCAATGTGACAAGTTTGATCCATAGCAGTGCTTCATGAATGGAACATGGCTACTTATCCATTTGTCCAGTGGTTGTCCAAGTCAGACACCACCTGTTGTTGGTCAAAGCAATACAATAATTATGTGATTTTGCTGGAGGTTGAGATCATCCAGAGGGTGAGTGCAAAGGATTGTTGTTATGCCAAGCTCAGGGCACAGCCTGCTTGCTGGGCCTTAGCTCTAGAAAACAGGGTATCTGCTAATATCTTGACAAGGGTGACAGAGAGACAGAAAGAACTGGGGGAGAAGGAGATGGAAGGAAGATAAAGAAAGACAGAGAGACACAGGAAAGTTACAGAGGGGTCAGAGACAGAGAGACAGGAGACAGAAAGGGAGATGGGGGAGAGAATAGGATGAGAGAAAAGAAGTAGCAAAGATCTATCAACAAGCAATATTAAATGTGTCAGGCAATAGGCTAGGTACCAGAGATACCAAGATAAAAGTAAAATAATCCCTGTTCTCAAGGAACTTACAACCCAGACAGACATGTATGTACATAAACACTTATACATGTACATATATACATATATTGCATATACATATACACACTGAACTACCAGTGCTCACAGAAGGGGAGGACTGTATAATGAGACTGGAAAGGTAGGTTAGGTCCAGGTCATATAGAGCCTTAAGTGCCAAACAGAGGTATTTGGACTTCATTCTAGAGGTTATAAGAAGCTATTGGAGTTTATTGAATAGGGGAGTGATATGGTCAAATCTGCACTTTAGGAAAATCACTTTGACAGTTACAAGGAGGATATGCTAGAATATGGAAAGACCGGCGGCAAGGAGGCCAAGTAGGAGGCTCTTGCAATAGTCCAGGCAAGAGGTGATGAGGGCCTGAACTAGGGTGGGGGCTTTGGGGTAAAGAGAACAGATGTGTAAAATGTCAAGAAGATAGAAGCAAGATTTGGTTACTGTAGGGTGACAGAGACAGAAGTGAAACGGTTAAGAGAAAAACAGTAGAGGAAGAGAAAAAAAATGGGTGAGAGATCAGAGTGATAAACATTATAAGTGATTGTGATAAAGAGGATAGAAAAAAGATGGAGAGATGGGAGAGGTACAAAGAGAGGAAAGAGATAAGAGAGAGGAAAGGCAGGAGATATGTATACAGAGTTATATCAAAAAGGGGAAGAAATATGTCTATAGAGACTGAGACCGAGTACCATTGTGGGAAATGGTCAGAGAATAAAGACCCACTGGAGCAGGAGGGGAGAGACATGGACAGTGAAAGTTGTTTGGGAGAGGACTGAGTCGGTCAGGGAAGGAGGGGTGAGCCGAGTATAAGAAAAGGAGATGGCTTGTGCCCCTATCTCAGTTCCCCAGGGTCACAGGTTTCCCTTCACTGCTTACCCCAAAGGTATACCAAAAAAATCCTTGGAAATCTGTTGGTACAGAACAAGAAACATTTTTTAAGCATCTACTATGTGTCACGCATTCTGCTAAGTGCTAGCAATGCAAAAAGAAGTAAAAGATAGTCCCTGCCCTCAAGGAGTTTACAATCGAATGGGGAAGACCACAAGCAAAAAAATGTATAAAAACAAGCTATACACATATATAAATGGGAAATAATCAGCAAAGGGAAGGCATTAGAATTAAGAAGGCTGGGGAAAGGCTCCTTATAAAAGATGAGATTCTGGTTGGGATTTAAAGGAAGCCAATAGGCCAAGATAAGGAGAGAGCATTCCAGGAAAGGGGGATAGGTAGTGAAAATGCCCTGACTTGGGAGATGGAATGTCTTGCTCAAGGAACAGCCAGGTGGCCAGTATCACTGGATTCAAGAACATGTAATAGGGAGTAAGGTTTAAGAAGAATGGAAAGGTGGGAGGTAGCCAGATTATGAAGGGCTTGAGTCACTGGATTTTGTTGAGTAGGGGAATAAATCGGTTGGACCTTCACTTTAGGAAGATTAAATTGACAGCTGTGCAGAAAATGGACTGGACTGAGGAGAGCCTCCTGGCAGAGAGACCAATCAGTTGGCTATTTCCATGGTCCAGGGCGGAGGTGATGAGCGTCTGCACCAGGATGATGGCAGGGACAGAGGAGAGAAGGGGGCATATTTGAGAAATGTTACAAAGTTAAAATTGACAGACTTTGGCAACAGATTGGATGTGGCAGGTGAGAGATAATGAGGAGTTGAAGGTGACACCTAGGTTGTAAATCTGAGGGACTGGGAGGATGGTGTTGCCCTAGATAGTAAGAGGGAAAGTGGGAGATGGGGAGGGTTTGTTGTTGTTTCAGTCATGTCTGACCCTTCGTGGCCCCATTTGGGGTTTTCTTGACAGATACTGGAGTGGTTGCCATTTCCTTCTCCAGATCATTTTACAGATGAGGAAATTGAAGCAAACAGGGTTAAGTGACTTGCCCAGGGCCACACAGTAAGTGTCCGAGGCCAGATATGAACTCAGGAAGATGAGTCTTCCTGCCTTCAGGCCCAGCACTTTATCCACTTCGCCACTTGGCTATCACCTGAAAGGGAGAATTTAGGGGGGAAGATAATGAGTTCAATTTTGGACATGTTGAGTGTAAGATGTCTACTAGAGGGCAACTGGAGATTTGAGATTGGAGGTTGGGAGAGAGGTTAGGGCAGGATAGGCAGATATGAGAATAGTCAGAATGGAGACTATAATTAAATTCACGAGAGCTGAGGAGATCACCAAGTGAAGTAATACAGAGGAAAAACAAAAAAGGACCCAGGACAGAAGCCTGAGGGACATCTACAGTTAGAGGTCATGACTGGGAGGAGGATCCAATAAGAACCAAGAGAGTGGTTAGATGGATAGGAGGACAATCAGGAGAGGATGATCCCTCAAACCTAGAGACAATCAAGGAGGAGGGAGTGATTAACAGTATCAAAGGCTGCAAAGACACTGAGGAGAAAAGGTCTCTGGATCTGAAAATCAAGAGATCGTTAGTGGATAAACCAACAGTAGATCCTACCTATCCCATGGCACATATTCATATTTAAGGCTATGAAGCAGCATAATACATTGGAAAGAGTGCTAGATTTGTAGTCAAAAGAGTTGAGTGAAAAGTCTACCTGTCAATTACTACACATATGAGCTAGGCAAGTCACTTAACCTGTGTTGGCCTTTGTTTCCAAGTGGGTCGGACTAGTTGACCTTCAAGGTCCTTCCAACTCTAGATGTATAATCCTACGATTACACCAGGGGATGGAAAACACAGCACATCTGGCACATCTGGCACAACGGTCACAACTACACAGCCAAGCCACAGGGCAGGATTCTGGCCACCCTGCCCAATGCCTAGAGGCCCATGGCTGCTGCCTAGGCTCTTATCTGTAACTCAGGAGGGATATATTTCCTGCTGTCAATGAAAAGATGGGCTAGGATTTCTCCCCAGGGCATCTGGAACTGCTCATCTTTCTCCTTTGGGGTCAAAGTTAGGGCCTGGGCTGAGCCTGAGCCTGAAGAGGCAAAGGGAACACAAGAATTGGGGCTGCTTCAGCTACTGCATCAAGACCGAAGGCAGCAGTTGGCAGGGTATAGCAGGAGGGCAGAGATGATTCTACATAGGCCTCTCACTCTGTGGTTTTGTGCATTCTTGTCATTTCAGTCCGTATGGTTTATGAAGGTTGGAATGATTTGAAAGCAGAATATATCTCCCACAGCCCCTAACCCAGAGCCTTGTATACAATGTTTGTCAATTGAGTGGAT